CTCAGTTTCATGTCGAAATTAGCACTTTTTGAAGTGTCAAAAGACCTTGAAGGCCAGTGAATTCTTGGGTTCCCCAGGTGGTAGTAGTTCGTGTAGACATCCATAAACAAGAACTGGTTGTCGAAAAGCGTGCAATTCAACATTTGAAAATGGGACTTTTGGCCGCTTTTTCCCGGTTTGAGCCCACTGTGCGACGTCATCCGTACCTTACCATACCCCACCTTGTACCTTACGCATTTACTGTGCTCCCCCCGAGGGCCGTGCTATCAACCTCCTACCACCAAACTACGAATGCAAATTAAACGATCGCTTATTTCAAACGTCTGATATCAAACTTCTAAACTAAACTCGATACGACCGGATTTATACTGATGCTTTGTGCGCAGTTTGAAGTCAATTGAAGTTGCTGTCTTTGAGAAACGTGTGTGATTACAGATAGACAGACAGACAGACACACAACCAAAGCGTTCTCTGCACCTCATGACAGCAAAGGCTTCGCTAACGCTCAGCCAGAAACGTTTACGGGCCGTCCCCCTAGCTGCGAGCCAAGCGCCGAGCCGAGCGGCGACCCGAGCGGCGACCCGGGCGCGCACCGCGGGAGGGGAGAGAGTCTGCATCCGAAACAACTGCCGGAACCAGAGGGCGGGCTGCTACACGTTCTAACCAGTGCGCGGCCACGGCGGGGCGGCGGGACCCGGACGGTTTCTTCGACGAGCACCTCGCGTAGTGCACGTTGAGACGCGTCGCAGGGGCGACTCCACCCGAGCAGACACGTTGTAAACGGTGCGCGGCCCCGGGCGGGCGGCCCCGTCGTCTGAGCAACAATTGGACGAACATCGCCGAAAACATAAGAAGACATCAGATGATCACTCAGAAGTTCAATCTTCGGTGAAACCTGCAAGAAATTTCATCATTAAAATAAACAATTCAGAATGACAACAAATGAAGCCCATCCAAAAAGAATTCAACAGAAATGACAGACCAGGCGTCGGCGCAAGAAAATGGTTCTCCCTCCTGATTCATATCCTGACATTATTGTCAACGCTACGTGGAAACAGCACTCGTTGCCATGTCCGTACCGTTTCAGTCATGTCACTGTTTACACGTCTTTGGACAGGGAACAATAAATGTATTTTAAGTGGAATTTTTTGCCTCTTAAAAAATTAAAAATGCCACCGGAAGTTTGAAAACAAAAATTGGGGGCTGGATTGAGTCATTTTCCCTGACCAACATTCAATTTCCCTGACTTTTCCCTGACTTCCCTGACCAATGTTTTTTCCCCTGACTTTTCTGACTTCCGGGTTGAGTGGCAACCCTATAAATATGTTAAAATTTGACACTCAATTATTTTCCTCCATCAAAACACCAAATTTTAGCTGAAATAGTAAGCCGCAACCGACCCATGCATGCATGCGCATGGTACTACACAGACCCTCGATCTACGCAATCGCTCCCGCGCGAACCGCTGAGTATAGTCGGCCAACGGTAACGGCAGATTTGCCTCTAGGTCTTGTGAACTTTAGCTCTTGTGGACTCTAGCTCTTGCGACACTTAGCTCTTGTGAACTCTAGCTCTTGCGCCGCCTAGCTCTTGTGGATCCTAGCTGTTGTGGCTCTGGCTCTTGTGAACCGCCCCGCCCCGCCAATCCGACTTTCAACATGCGACGGCACTGCCAAAACGGGGAGGACGTACTACGAAACACTTATCGAGGTGGTGTTATTTCTTGTTTCCTCTCCATCCCCCACACTTCTCCCTCTCACCTCTCTCCCTCCCTTCATCCTCCTCCTCCTCTCTCTCGCTCTCCCTCTCTCTTCCTGTCTCTCCTTTGCCATTTAAAGTGTAGTAATTTTTTTTTTTTAATGTTCTTGAAGAGTTTGTTGTTCATCAGCCACGGTTTTGTTTTGTTTTTTACAGCATTATGGAGGCGAGGTTGACAGATCCCCTTGGTTTTGCCCTGACTCCCATGTAATTTCCATGGGAGTTGGGGAGGCAGGGTCCATCACAGCCGTTGAGGGAGTCTTTTCTGTCGAGTTTCTTATTGACTGTGGAAAAACAGGTGAAGTTCCAGAACTAAAAGACTATAGGTAAGTTTCTCTGCTCGGGTGTTTGCTCGGCCTGACTCATCGGAAAGCGTACGTGGCAGCAAATGGCGGCGCTGTGAGTGTTTTATTCGCCTGTACACATCCCCGAACTAGAAGGCAAAGTGCCCCCTCCTTGCTCGGGTGAATGGCAGCCTCACAGAACCTTCCGAGCGAACACCTGTACACTACTCCGGAGCTAAGAAATGATGGCGCGATGTGACGCGACGAACAGTCTTTTGTGCGAAGCGCTACCAACCGCGAAGCGCTTAGGTATCCTGTGGCGCTAATTTTAGCCGGCTAAGGTGACCCCTGGCGCTAACTTTAGCCGGCTAAGGCTGGTTGGGTTGGGGCCTACATTGACCGGCTAAGGCTGGTTGAGGCCAAGTTTAACCGGTTAAGGTAGACCACAGCAGCACAAAGCACCGGCACAGTACGGCTAAAGTGGTTCAATTGTAGAGGGGTGGGGGCTGGGAGGGAGTTGGATATAAGAGGGAAGTCCTACGCCCTCGAAGGGAGGGCGGCGAGGGACTGGCGCTCCTCGCGGCCAAAACTTGCATCTTTCATCCCCATTGTTGAGCCCGGTTGCCCGGTTGAGATTAGTCTGTTTGGAGAAGTGTTGCAGTTGTGTTGCAAATGGCAGAAATGGCAGACCTCGCCGAACTGCCGAAATTTGAGGAGCGATATATGGCGGTTACTTTCAAGAAAGCAGGCAATGGGAAGTACCTTCAGCGAGGAGAAATACCAAGAGGTAATCAAATAAGTGAATGGGGCATTGGAGAATGAAGGGAAGGGGTCGGGGAGGGCCTGGCCAGAAAGGAGCGACTGCCTCAAGTACGCCGTGAAGATGGGGGGTGCCGAGGAGTACCTGGTGGAAACCGGCGACCACAAGAAGTATTTCGTGAGCAGTGAGCGGATGTACGACGCCCTCTTCGAAG